GGGGAGTGTGCCCGAGCCTGGAGCAGCTGCCCAGAGAGGCTGTGGAGTCTCCTGCTCTGGAGAGATCCCAAACCCTCCTGGCTGTGCCCCTGGGCACCCTGCTGGGGGTGAGCTGCTGGAGCAGGGGGCTGGAGGAGATGATCCCCAGAGGTCCCTTCCCACCCCACCACGCTGGGGTTCTGGTATCATGGGGTCATGTCTCGTGGGGGAGCGTGAGGGTCAGAGCTGTCCCCTCTCCTCGGGCAGGACTTGTCCAGCGTCTCCAGCAGCCCCACGTCCAGCCCCAAGACGAAGATGGCTGCAGTGTCCTCCCTCCAGAAGCCCACCCAGATGGGCACCACGCAGCTGCTGAAGAGGCAAGTGCAGAGGCCGGACACTGTCCTGACACACAAGCAGGCACAAGGTAACGCTCTGCTCCTTTCCCACCCTCTGACAGCTGGATTTTTGACCTTTATCTGTCCTGATGGGTGTAGAGTTCTTTTCTTTTTTTTCTTCTGGCTTGAATTCCGAGCTCCCCGTGGCAGCTTCCTGTACAGCTCAGTCCCCTGTCACTGTCACCTGAAGGCAGCAGGGTGAAAATTAAGGTGGAAAAGGTGTTTCTGGAGCGTTGCAGAGCCTTGCTGCCCTCTGGCCTGGGGAGGATTTTCCCTCGAATCGCCACGTAGCCATATGCTGGTTCCTTTTCAACTGTCAGCCCCTTGACTGGTGTCTCATATCCTTGAAGGCCACTCGGGAGGGAGACTGAAGGTCCTCAGGAGATGCTTGAGGCTGTTGAATGGTGACTGAAACGATGGGGCTCGGGGAATTGGAGCCATCTTGCCTCCAAGGGTGGTGGGGAACCTGCTCAGAATGAGAAACCAGCTTGAGCTGGAGGGTTTTATATTTGGTCCTGTCAGATGCTGATGGGAAAACCTTACAGTCCAGCTTCAGACTGGGACTGCTGTGCACGTAGGGAATGGTTTAGTTGGTGGTGACCCCTTCTGGCAAATCTCACTGGGGGATCATTCTCCATCCTCCCTTCTCTCCTTGTGTCTTTGCTGGAGACAGAGCTGACCAGGCTCGTTCTCTCCCACAACAGCATGACCCTCTGTGTTCTTGGAGCTCTTTCACTAACTCAGGGGTAGGCTCCGGGGGTGGGGGTGAGGCTGAAACTTGGATCTCCCTCAGTTTCTCAGACATCCACTCCTGTGTCGTCGTGGAGGCGGGAGGCAGTTTTTAGGTGGCAGGAGGAGGGTGTGTGGCGGCCGCCTCGGGTTGTCAGGAGCTCCACTGCGGCGTGGCGGGTGCCCTGTGTGCTGTGGCTGTTGAGGGGTGGGCTTGCTGCTGGCTCCCAGCTGCTCTTGGCTTCTCCGTGCAACTGCTTGGCCAAGCTGCTGGCACCCAGCGGGGCCACAGGAGCTCTGCCCCGTGGCTGTGTGGGGCTGGAGAGGGCTCATGCTGTGCGGAGGAGGTCGGGGTGGCTCCGTTGTGCCCCGTGGCTGGATGAGTCCCGGCCAGAGCTCGCTGCCTGCTCTGAGCTCTGTGTCTGTGGGTTGTGGTGGTGGCCCTGGAGTTTCCCTGTCCCCCTCCGGAGCCGGGCTGTGATACTGTAATTCTCTCTGATTCATTTCAGCTCAGTTCGCTGCTTTTCTGAAACAAAACATGCTGGTGAGGAAAGCTCTTCCTCCTGGCACCTCTTCATGTCTCTTTGGTGAGTATCTCCTCACTCCTTGCTGTCTCTCTCTCTGTCTCCCTCCTTCTCTCTGTCTCCGCTGCCTTCTTCCATCATCCTCCTCTTCCCTTGCACTGGTTTGGGGATGTGGCCCCCACGTGTCCCCTCGTCCCCCTGCTTCTCGCTGCCTCATCGCTGTAGTCGAAGCTAAAGCCAGTGGCCAGCTGAGAGCATGAACGTTCCCTGAGCTCCTCCCCTGCTCCAGTGGCCAGTGCCCCCCTTCCAGCTGGGTGGGCCAGCAGCCCCTTTGCTCTGACTAAAACTCTGGGGGCCCTGCGGTGATTTTTTTTGTGCCTGTGAGTTTAACCCTTTCCCGTGCCGGGGCTGGGAAGGGGACGTGGACACCTGAGAGACCACGTGTGGTGGTGGTGGAGCAGCAAAAGGGACGTAGGTGGGGAACAGAAGCGAGGGGCTGAGTTGGAAAGGGCAGGTGTGGGCACGTGGAGCAGCATTTCTTGGCCAGAGGGAGTTGGAGAAGAGCTGAGAGGTGAAGGAGAGGGACGGCCCTGGGGAGATGGGGCTGTGTGGGCCAGGAGCAGGCGGGGGAGAGCGGCTGCTGGTGCTGTGGTCTCGTGGTGGGTGCTGGAGCAGGGAGCGTGTGGTGCTCAGAGGGTTCAGGATTTGGGGGGTGAGGTCCATGGTGTGTGTCAGGGCCCGGCAGCGAGCGCGGGGCTGGGGCTAGGGGAGGACGAGAGGTTGAAATCCATGCCAGTGGTGGCATCACGTGAGCTGGCAGTGTCACTTGCCAAGTGACAAGTGGGGAGAGGCTGGTGGTGCTTGGGGGTGTTGTGTGGAGTCTCAAGCACAGGCTGCCCTGTAGGCAGGAGGTACAGCCCAGGCTGCCCCTGCACAACGTGCTGACAACCTCCCCAGGCCACCCCTGACCCGAGCTGCCTGCTGGAAGGTTCCTTCTCCCCTCAGTGTGTGTTGTGCTCGCTGAGGTCCGTCTGGAGCCCTTGGCAGCCAAGCAGGCTCTGCTATTGCACAGTGGGGACACAGAGGGACGTTGGGTCACTGCTGGATGATGGTTTTGGGGACACCCAGTGCCTGTGCACGTGCCGTTTCGCTGTCCTGCTTGGCTGGTGGCACTTCTTGGGGTGGCTTTGGTGCCACGCACGCCCGCTGGGGTCTCTCTGGGTGGGGGTTTGGACCAAGTGTGTTTGTGGGTCGGGGGGGAGGCGTGAGGCTCCAGCTATGGGGCCAGCTGTTGGCAGCAGCACTGGCACAGCCAGCTTTGCCACTTGTCTCAGGCACCAGAACGCTTGGAGTCCCCCCCATGCTGAGGGGTTTGGCTGTGGGTGTGTCCTGCACTCCCAATTGGGGGATGTGCAGGTGGTGTGATGCTCTGGGAGTGTGTGCATACATCTGTATAGACACACATCTACGTTGTTTTTATAGAGTACATCCAACTCTAGAGACATAAATTAAAAGGTATGTACATCTTGGCCTCTGGGGCACTCCCTTCAGTGCCTAGAGGGTTGGAAGGGACCTTGAAACATCATCTAGATGCCCAGGATGGCCTGTAAAGAGGCAGTTTGCTGGCCCAGCACCAGCTCTCAATGATCTGTGTCAGCAGATCTATCCCTCTTCCCACCCAGCCCACCACAGCTTTGGGCTGGGCGATTGTACTCCAGTGGTGGGAGACCTGTGGAGAGCAGTGGGCAGGATTTGGCAGCTCATGGACCTGTTTTCTTGAGCTCCTTGGAGGTGCTTGTCCCGGGTCCTCTATTGGGTTTTTTTGGATATCCCTGGCACCAGCAAGCCTGTGCTCCAGGCAGAATGAAATGGATGTGATGGGTCAAGGACATGGCAGCAAAATGAGCCATGGGTGTGGAAGAGAAATCTCAGCTCGTGTTTTTTTCTCCCCTGGTAGTGAGCAGTGTATGGAATCACAGAATTGTTGGGGTTGGAAGAGACCTTTCAGATCCCTGCTTCCTGCTGTTCCCCCAGCACTGCCGTGTCCCTCACCCCACATCTCCACGGCTTGGGAACCCCTCCAGGGGTGGGGACTCCACCACTGCCCTGGGCAGCCTGGCACAGCCCTGGGCAACCCTCAAGGGGAAGAAGTTGTTCCTCAGGGACAACCCCAACCTCCCCTGGGGCAACATGGGTCTGGTTCCTCTTGTCCTATCACTTGGGGAGAAGACATCTCACCCCCTACCTGGCTCCAGGCTCCTGTCAGGAGCTGTGCAGAGCCAGAAGGTCTCCACTGAGACTCCTTTGCTCCCCTCAGCTGCTCCTCCCCACACTTGGCCTCTAGACCCTTCCCCAGCAGCTCCGTTGCTCTTCTCTGGCCACGCTCCAGCCCCTCGAGGCCCTTCTTGTAGAGAAGGAGTCTTGGCTTTGCTGCATCAGCTCCTGTGCTCCCGGCTGCTTCGCTTAGTGCCTCTCTGAACCCCGCACGCCTCGGTCCCGCTCCTGGAGGGCTGCTCAGGACGTGCCCAGTGACCTCTGCTGGAGGAGCAGCAGGCTCAGCCCTGACCCCAGCACGCCTGCACACCAGCTCGGCGACTCTGCACCCTCACCCCCTCGCCTGGAAATCCGGGATGCCTCCGGGGCCTGCTGCCAGGACCGATTGTGCTGCCCTTTGATGGGGGGTTGCTGTAGACTTCGTTTTTTCCCTGCTGCAGAGGCCAGACAGACTTTACGTGCTCTCTGCTTTAGCTTAAGCCAAGTCCTGGTCCTAAGACCAGGGCAGGTGGAAGCCGGCGTAGGTGGTGAAAAAGGAGAAACGTGGGGCCCTGGTGCATGGGAGAGCTGGCATGGAGGGCGCTGTGGAAGTGTGCATGGGCATGTGTCCCTCCTCCACGCCTCGGGGCGCCCGC